TTCTATAATAATAAATAAACTATTTAACTAATTATTAGAGAAAATAAAAGAATTACTATAAAACTCTATTATATTAATATCTAGAATATATAGTTATATTAAGAATATAATAAAGATATCTTTTAAGTTATATATTTTTAAATAAGTAATATACCCGTAAATAAACTTATAAAAAATCTATTCCGATTTAAATTCAAGAATTTTAGAACTTTATTAAATCTTTAGAATATTAGAATATAGATTAAAATAATTAAATAATATAAAAAAAGGTTTTTATTTATATCTTTTATTTATAAAATCTATTAAAATAATAGAGCTTAAAAACTAATAATAAGAGATTTAAAAGCACTTTACTATAGTATTAATAAGCTTATATAAAAGGCCCTTTACTCGATTAGACTACTTTTTATTTTTCTTAATAATTTCCGAAATCTTAGTAAAAAAGCTTTTATTATTATTCTCTTTATTAGATTTAGTAATTATAAGTATAATATAAATAAAGTATCTAAAAATAGATAAATGCTTTAAAAGAATTAGAATTTATAAATAGAATTAAGAAAAATAAGCTTATAATATCTTTAATAATTAGGAGTTTAGTAAAAAAGAGCTATATAATAGAGATATAAGAAATTAAAATAATAAAACAAGAATAACTAGAAGTATATTTCTAGTAATAAGAACCTCTACTAATAATATTATAGCAAGAACTATTACTTTTGCTCTTTAGAATAAAAGAGACTATATTAAGTTAAAACAAGCTTTGGAATAATATAAAGAACTTATAGTAACTTATATAAGAGATTTTTTTAAGACTAGTATAAATAGAACAAGAAATATAAGGCTTTAGTAAAAAAGTACTAGAAATATTAGAAGATATTACAGGGATCTAAACCTTAATATTTTATTAAATATAAGCTTTATATTAATAGTTAAAAGCTATACCTATAGTAGTTTTATAAGCTATTTAATACTATTTAAAGTTAGTAAAAAGTAAAATAAAAACGTATTTTGGGTCAAAAATATTTCAAATTTATAAGCCGGAATTAACTTAATAATAATATAAGAAGAAATAGAACTAATATAAGCTATATTTATAATAATTAAAAGCTTAGAAAGAGAGCTCTAGAAACATATTAAAGAAAAGCGGTTTAATTAGAGGCTCTGAAGTTAGTAGAAAGAGGGGCTTTATAAAAGGCTTTCCTGAAATTCGATAATTTAGGGAAATAATATATACTAAATCTATTTAGTTCGGAATATTAATATAGCTTTATAAAACTCGTATATTAGATAATTTTTACTATTTTAAAGCTTTCTAATTAGGTAAAATAGATAGAATATAATATTATATCTTTCTAGAAGATATATTATAATAAGAATTACTAAATTAGGGCTAGTATAATTACTTTATTTAGTTAAGATCTATATATTTATTTTCTAAAGCTTTATATTTTACTTAAGCTCTTTTTTAGCTAGTTTAATTAACTTTTTTATTATTTAATATAACTCTCTATTCTATAATTTTTATATATATTATATATTATTTAAAAAAATAGTTTTTTAAGTTTATAAGAAGTTTCTAAATCTTGAGTCAAAATATATAAGTAATTAGATTTGGCTAATTTATAAATTATAAGCTATTTAGCTTCTAAATAATTTTTGGCTATTACGGGTTTATTATAAAAATAAAAATAAAAAACAAACTTTCTAAAATAAAAAATAATAGCTATTTAATTCTAGAAAAGCTATTATTTAAATCGATTTATATTTATAAAAAAGAAAGAAAAAAGAAATTAAAGATCTAGATTAGCTAATAAAATATTTATATAAATCAAGATATTTATTAAATTATTATATATATTTATATAAATTTTGTTTTAATATAAATAAAACTAATTAAGAAATATAGTTTTATAAATAATAAAAATATTTATAATATATTATTAAAAGAGCCGGCAAGCCTAAAAAAGAAAATATTTTATTATTATAAGTATATAAATAAAACTAATAAAAGAATTATTAATAAATATAATAAATATTTTATAAAGTTATTTTATAATATTATTTATATTTATTATATATAAAAAGAAATAAAAAAAGAAATATTATAAAAAAAAGAAATATAAAAAAAAGAAATATAAAAAAAAAAGAAATATATATTATATAAGTAATAATTATTTAATAAAATTACAAATTTCAATAATTAAACTTACAAATTATAAAAAGAATATTATATTAATTCTCGTTAATAAACTTGTTTAAAAGAACTCTTATTAGCTTTATAATTATAAAAAGATTCTTATAATAATAATTTGCTTTAGATTAAAAAATTAAATATATTTATAAGTTAAAAAGAATTCGGAAATAACTTATTTAATTAGCTAATTACTTTTAAGTTATCTTATAAATTTATATAAAGGAATTATAATTTATAAGTATTTTATAAAGGCTATAAAGAATACTTAATTAAATAGTAAATAATACTATATCTAGATATTAGTTATATAGTTTGAATTATAAAAAAATAATTAAATAAAGACCGGAATTTATTATAAGTTTAGCTTTAAGAATTTCTAGTAATAAAATAATTTCCTATAAATTCAAAAATAGTAAATACTATAAGAAAGATTAATATATATATTTTTAGTATAGCTTATAAATATAAAAGCAAATATAAAGTTATATATTTTTATATTTTAATAAAAATTATAGGCTTATAAATTATTTCCTTTAAAAAATACTTATAAAAAAAGTAAAGATATTTGTAATTTATTTAATGCCATGTTTTTTCTTTTATAATAAAGATTAAATTTCTAATATATATTTATAATTATTTTTAATATCTAGTATTTCGTTTTATAATTCTTATATTAAATACTTATTAGACCGGGATTATAAGCTAGTAAAAACCGAAAAAGTAAATAAAAGCCGAGTAATAAAGAAAAAGGGCTAAAAGAAATAAGTGAAATAAAAGAATTTACTATAACTAGAATATAGTTTTATTTAATTTATATATTAATTTATTAAATATATTTATAGGGCTATAAGTTCTTATTTCTATTTATAATTAGCTATTATAAATTACTATAAGTTTATTAAAATATATTAGAATCGAGATTAATAAAAGGAGGCTAGTATATTCTTTATATTACGTGGTACCAGTCACGTGGTGCCACTGCACGTGACTTAGCGTGTAGCCAGTGCTTTTAGCCCGGCAGATAGCCTTTAGCTCAATTCAAGCTCTTTATTACTATTATAATATTACTTTATTATAATACTTTAATAAGCCTAAAAATAAATTAGCTAAAAATAAAGAAAGAAAAAGAAAAAGAAATCCTATAATATAAATATATCTTATATATTATATTATTATAATTATAGGATAATTAAGAAAAGAAATAATATTATATATAACTTATATAAAAATTATAAGAAAATAAATTTATTATAAAAGAAAGCTTAAAGCTTACTAGCTAAATAAAAGAAGAAAAGAAGATTAGAATAAAGTATAGGCTAGAAGTTTTAGTATTTTTATTTAAATAAAATCTCATAATTAGAAATTTTAATAAATAATTCAATTATATAATAATATTATATAAATATTAAAAGAAGAGAAATATAATATATATAATTATATAAGCTATATATATATAACTAGTTTATAATTATTATATAATATGACTTTAAAATTAAAGAAATACTTATAATTAAAGATTATTATAAATTCTTTTCGAATTAATTTTTATTTTATTTAAAGAAATAAATTTCTTTAATTATTTTATAAAATTAGATCAAAATTAAAAGAATTTTGAATTAAAGTTATTTATTTAATTAAAAGCCTAATTTAGACTTATTAGAAATTAGGTTTTAATTATATATAATAAGCTAATATAGTAAAATATTTATATAATTACAAAAAGTACTATTATATAATTTATAAAATTAAAAACTTCTTAGAAAACTAAGGAAAAATTTGAGAAATCTCTTTTTAAAATTAAAGACCTCTCTTGCTTTCTTTTACTTTCTTCTTTTCTTAAAAAGAATTTAGGAAATCTTTCCCTAAAACTAATTACTTCTTTATTTTGTTTTATTTTATTCTTTCCTTAAAGGCTTTAAAGGCCTTCATTTAAGAATAAATACTTTGCTCTTTAAACTAAGCCTTCTTTTAAAAGAATACTTTCTCTTATATATCTTTATTATCTGGGGAAGAACCCGGAAATATTTATACTATAGACAGATGAGTTGCGATATATAAACCAAGTGGCGATTTCCAGTACAGGCAATTCGGCATTACAAATACGGGTCTTTTCATAGTTGGTCCACGGTCTATAAAGCCGGGCAAAATTGTCTCTTTGTTTGAGGGTGGCAAGCTTGCATTCGTATTACGGCCATTCCAGGAGCATTATTTATTTTGTGGCGAATGTTATATTCATGACTTAAATCAGAGTAACTCATGGAAAAGGCTTAAAGAGATAGATGTGGAATGGTTCTCCTTAATTTAAGTATCTTAGTACTAAAGTTTGTGGAACTTGCTTCCCAAGTACTCGATCAAAGGTTTGTAATATCCGAGGTCGTGAAATCCTTCAGTACGAAGATTTCGATCAAGATAATGCAGTTGACTAATCCGACTTTGCAGTATACCATTTGAGTTTACACTGAAGAAAATGGAGAAACAACTGCGAGAGACAGTGTGAAGATGCGAGAGCAGGCGGAAGCCTGTGCAAAGAGAAAGGTCGAAGTTGAAGAGGAGGAGGAAGAGCAAATGAAGTCGAATTTGAATTACCTCGAACTGATACCTGATGACCTCAAAGAGAGAGAGAGAGAGAGAGAGAGAGCCCTTTGATTGGACAGAGCCGTGCGTCGGAACGGAGGAGGCATGACGGAAGGGCCAAAGATACCTGGAAACTAGAGAATGAGCACGTTTCTTAGCTGTGAAGGGGGCTATATCGTCTAGTGAGATCAAGAGAAGTTTGTCTGGATCCTATTCCCATAGAGCAGCTAATTGTTCCTATGTTCTGAGTGCTCAAAATTGACGGACGTATATTAACTACATTTTACAGTCCCTATTTGGCCCATGGCTGTACCTATGCACCTCATTATGAGAGCATTGCTTTCTTACTGCCGAAGAATAATAGAGAGTGTTGCCATTGTAATCTTACCATCTAAGCCTAGTCCTTCATCTTCTCAACCACTGTTCTCGTCAGCTTCACCGTCTCTCCCCTTTAGTTTCTTGCAACTAGTCGGCCTCGATATCTCGGCACCAATCTTCCGCTCCGGTCAAAGAACGAGAGAGAAGGCCTTCCTGATTAGGTTTAGCCTTACCCCCTTTCGCCTCGGTTAGTGGTTGCCGTCGCATCGTGACAAAGGACTTTTCTCATAAACGGTACTTTGGGACGCACTCTATCCCAATCGCCTACCACACGTTGAGGATCATGACTTTGCTTCAGGAGCTCTTCCTTCCCAATTAAAACAAAAGGTTCCTCTATGAGAATCGAGTCCGTTCGATAAGTGTAGACGAGAAGAACAATATTGAAAATGAGAGCAAGTACCAATACGCTAACAATTGTGTACGCGACTGGAGAGACAATATAGAGTCGTGTAACCGGGGTAGAAAGTCCACCGGTCGAAGTCCGAGATATGGCAGTGTCTTGGAAAAGAATCTTTGTAGCCAGGCCGGCGTAGAGAGTCTGAAATAGATCTTCTGTGCAATTCTTGATCAGATCAGGCGTTATGGGGGAGGTCGTATTTTGTGTTTTCGCGTAGGAGTAAACGGAAAATCCAAAGGCGTCTGCTTGAATGCTATTTGAGGGATCGAAAAACCCATACCTGTGGAAACTTTCCTCTAGTTCCTGGTAAATATCCGATGGATGTATGGAGGTGCTGGAATTTGGTGCGAACGAGATCAACTGAGGTGACATGGTTGGTTGGATGGAGACTGTAAGGGAGCCTGATGTGTTCCAGTACCAAACCGCGCATGAAACGAGGCTGTAGTTGGCAAGTTTGACAGAAGATTCATCGGAATAGGTGCCTGCAATCACACCAACTCTACCATATTCGGATCCGGCGCAATTGGTCTGCCAGCTCTGAGTGTATATCGGAGTCGTGTTTACAACTGATATGGACCCTGATACTTCGCAACCCCGATCATTTATGTTGTAAATTACAGTCCAAGCGCCCGGTGTCCCAGAGTCTTTATACATTGCTGAGGATTCGGGAAATGTTTGGCAATCTAGCTGTGCTGAATATGCGTTGGTTTCTGCAGTCACATTTCCTGTTATTGTGTTCCCATCGCCCACATCGAATTTCTCAAAAGCGTACTCCGAAGTCATCCAAGAAGGCGGGGTGGCATAATAGATACGATTCGCTGATGCAAGGTCGAGCGCAGGCTGCAAGCTGGTTTCCGCTGTCAGAGCAGATTCGTTGAAACTTGTTATAAAGTTAATGGCAACAACCGAGCCTGACTGAGATTGAGCCGCGACGAACAAGTGCGCTGCCAAAGGTACTATAGCAATTGAAAGGATCAAACTAAGTAGCATTGGGACGCCCAGTTGTATGTCGCCGTTCCGAAGCGCCACTATCCAGGCAAAAGATGATGGATATGACTTGTAATCCAATTCAAAGTTGAGGGTCGAATCTCCTGGATGCTTTTTCTTCCGACATTCTAAAATAACGAAAGGTTGACGATCAGATGCTCCAGAAACGATAATGTCCCAAGTGATCCGATACAAAGTCATAATCAGTGATGGCAATGTCGTCCAGAGCAAGCCATATCTCCAGATGTTGGAGATAGAGAAGTAGGAGGATGCCAATGAGGTAGAAACCTGAGAGATAGACACGATTCCATTCTGCGAAGATGATTGTCTTTCAAGGTAGATGATTGTTGCGATCAGGCCGGCTTCGATGAGAGCTAGGGAGGTCAAAACACCCCAGTGAAGGCTTGAAGTTCGCCATTCTTTCCTTTTTACTCCAGTATCTTGAGTAACAGCTGTCGCTTCTACTAGAATTTCGTCTTTGTGATGATTTTCGTTGCTAGTGTTCGATTGGAGAACCTGAACTGAATTGGTGTTTGGAACGTGGCTATGACGCTGATTGTCTGCCATTTGGTGTGTATGCTTCTCGACGAATATAAAACGGCAATTATCGAATTAAGTAACAGAAAGGTGTTGAAGCCTTTAACCGAAGCTAATGGAAGGGGAAAGGCCGAACTATCTTGCCTAATATCTACAATGCGGTGTTTTAAAAATAGAGAGAGATTATCGAGAAGGTATCAATAGACCTTGACACTACTCGTGCGTGTGGCTGGATAGGCGGAAGTCTCCGCCCGCTTCAAATGATTTGTAAAACAAAATGGCGTTCTATTTGCTTTGTGATTGGGGAGGATAGGGGTGGCGGACGTCGCACATGACCAACGCCATACTCATGTCTTAGTTCAGCTCTTTCAACAGATCCAATCAAAGATATCTTTTTTCGCGATCTCAAAGCCTCATATCACCAATTTGACGCGTCACATATGATAGCTCGTACGTGTGAGACACGCTCCAGGTTTGCTGTCTAGTGATGGCAATAGAACTCTAAATCCAACCACACTCTCAACTTTCCTATTTCCATAGCTGAACTCGAATCTCTCATCAAACTTCACGAAATTATACAGCTCTACAACATGCGCTCCGGCAAATTCCTCGCCAGCTCCGCTTCCTTATTCCTTGCTCCAATGAGCATGGCACTTTCTACGCTCCCGCCTATAACTTTTTCTGAAGACCCAAAAATTTGCCTTCCCGGCGGAGGCGTGACCTCTTTTTCGAATTGCCCTGCTCTTTTTTCTAGTATCAACTACTGTAATGAACCTAGCGTTATTACGGCTGGGCCAGATCCTTTTGCCTGCATCTGCAACCAAGATTATCTCAATCTTCTCTTTGGGTAAGAAATCACTCAAACAATCTCTTAGCATTAGATTCAGATAGAAATAGGTGCCACGATGAAGAGCGATTATGCATCGGAGATACCGATCTCGATGCTGGCTTTCAATCTGGTCTCGGTGCCTGGAACAGTGCCTGCGAGGCTTTGACGACGGCAGCTATCACAACTCCACTAGTTTCTTCCATAATTGTATCAGCGAATCTCGACTGGTGCACAACAGTCTTTTTAGCTTGCGAGAGCTTTTCGGTCTCACAAGAGGACTGCAGTAGTTCATACTCCGGAGAATACTTCTTCTCCTGTGCTTGCAAGCCCAATATCTTGTCTCTCATGTACACTTGTCAGTTTCTGGCCAATACTTCGTGCCTTGACTCCTCTGCTGCTTTAACGAATCTTGTATACTACGGTTATTGCCCGAGTTTGGTTTCTGTTCTGGGCCCCTTGGTAAATGAGACTGTAAATGCACCCGCTCCATGTTACTTATGCTAAAAGCCAAGCTAATTTATTTAGGCACCCGCTTTAACACCTGCGACGATTACTTCAAATGGGAATCCTTCTAATACACCTTCAAACCCGGAGACTTTGACAGCACCTCTTGCGCCAGGTTCGTCAAAGATAGCAACAGGTCCAACTGCTACAAAGTCATCGATTGGTATAGGATTGAACAGATGGAGTCCAGGACAAAAATCCATTTTTGGTGTTTTCTTCTCACTCCTTCTAATGCTTGGATGGTAGCACTGAAGTTAGACTGCGCGCCAGTTGGTTGAAGAAGACACAATTCTAGAGCTATGAAGGTAGCTGCGGAGAGTATATATAGGGTGGCCCCCCTTAAGGGACTAGTCCTATTACGAGGTAAAATACACGTAATTTCCAACTGATATACTACCGCCCCGCCCCCGCCCCCAGGTGTAACTGTGAGCAGGAATGCCTGAAAATGCTAAAGCATGTGAAATACAATAAATATATCCTTCAGAAGTCCGAATCTTGATTTTTCCAGGACCCAAGGAAGCCTTAGAACTAAGTCACGTATCTAATGATTGTCTCTATACGAGTTGACTTGAGTCCAATGAGCCGTGACTCGTGGTGGTAGGTTTTAAAGAAAGGTAAATATCAACTTGAGGAGTAAGGGCTGCGTCGATTGCAAGCTTGAATAAGGCATACGGACAGCTGAAGGCCCAAGTGAGACATGCCGACAAGCGAGTCCCGATAGCATGTGAAAGGTCGAGGGGCTTGGATGAAGTGTGCCGATAGCTTAAGGCTTAAGTCGGGCGTGCCTTGAGTAAGTGCTAGTGGCGAGTAAGAGTCGAAGGCTTGATAAGGACCGGGGTCCTTCTAGGGAAGGTCGGTCTGAAGGGAACTAGTGGCCACTAGCGGCGGCGTAGCAGGAGGAAACGCTCCGGCTTTGTGGTGTAATTTGCTACCAAGTAGTGTAATAACGAGTGAAAGCTAAGGGCTTGAGATACCGGGGTCATTTTAAGAAGGAAGGCTAGCTTAAAGGAGACTAGTGGCAAGTGGCGGCGGGCCGGCGGCATAGAAGGAGGAAATGCTCCGGCTTGAAGGGTAGCTTGATTTGACACCAAGTAAGGACTGGCGCAGCGGAAAGGCCAGTAAATTGAGGTCGACGAGAGGATTCGACGATTAAGGGATCGATAAGAGGAGTCGACAATTGAGGAGTCGTAGTAAACCGGAAGTCGGAGTAAATTGGATAGCGCCTCTTGCTAGGTTATGTTAGACTATCCCTTCGTCTGGCGAGACATAGTCCACGCTAGCAAGGGGGCCTGGCACAGGGCGAAAAGGCAATGAATGACTAACCAAAGCTACGACTTTCCAGTCTGAGCCGGCCCCCTTGCTAGCGTGGACTATGTCTCGCCAGACGAAGGGATAAAGAGGACGCACGATATATATCATCGTACAGCCAAATGGTCCGCCACCGAACGCTACGAGCTTAGATTTTATTACCAAGTTAATCTGTACGACTGCAGGTGTTCATGCGGGCCGTCGATGGAATCAGTGGCCTGGGCAACTTCTAAGTCATCGACGTCGTTATGGTGCGTGCCAAAAATGTTCCCACCGACTGGTCGATAATTTCTGGAACTTTTTGTACGGGAAATGATATAATGAACCCGGGGGTCGTACTAAAACGGACCCCCGCGCCCTTTTACTTAAGGGTACAGTCGGGTCGGATAAGTGTTCGTCACGTGACATTTTGACATCCAGTCCCTATACTAGAGCTAGCTTTACTAATTTTCACACCCAATAAGCCTAAATAGGCTAAATTTGAAGCTATTTAGTACTTCATTGCTCCCCTCTTGTTTTTAAGGCAAGCTGCCCACCTATATAGTACAGAATCACACAATTTCAAGAGAAACTCTCCGTTAATTTATGGCCAAACCATTAGTAATAGTTATCTTATTTCCTTTATATTCTAAATCCTATACCTTTACCTGGAGATTATATCCTTAATACACTTCCAAAGATTCTCAATTAGATTAAGATCTGGTAACTATAGTAGCTAGCTTATTGTGGGAGGGAAACTGCAATAAGACAAAAACCCATATAAAGTATACCAGAGCGCAAAACGTGACTTAATAGTAAAATAACAAATCAAAAACGTAAATAGTAAAGCATAAATAGTATATAGTATATAAAAGCTTAATTAATTAAATACTTATAAGGGATTATTCTCTAAGTCTATAGAAAAACCAGCTTTCTTATATAATTCCCGCAAGTTATATATAAAAGGCTGCGGCCTTTATTATATAACCTAAATCTCAAAACCGCCAAAATAATATAATTTTTTTTTTAAAGAATACGGCCTGCTATACTATATCTGACCTTCTATTTATTTATACTTATTCCCTAAATACTAAAAATAATAGAAAAGTCTTACTCAGAGTCCGAAATAATAAAATAATTAAGATCCTCCTCTATTAGCTAATCTAATTTCTCTTCTATATACCTAAAATAAGACTTATTACCTTTAAATAGTCTTATTTTATATTCCCGAACTTGCTTAAAGGCAATCCGAACCCGCTTAACTATATTCTTATACTAAATCCGATATAGTTCTTTATATTAATTAGTATTTGCCTTTAATTATTACTTAATTTCCGTCTTTACTACTAGATATTAAGGAGGCTTATTATAGTAAATTATATTATAAATTATACTAATATACTCCAAATAAATAGCTCCTTTAAATTTCGTATTATTTACTATATCTTTAAATTAACCTTTAATAAAAAAAGAAAGCTCTAGGTAAGAGATTTTAATAATTTTATAAGAAACTTCATTTTTATATATTCTGTTCTTAATAGTAACTAGACTTATTAGAATTATAATAAAAGGCCTATTAAGTAGCAAATTATTATTAAGCTATTCTTTAACTTATATATTATCCGAGAATTAATGCTTTCCTATAATTTCGGACTTATAAATTACCTAGCTAAAGGCATTTATTTATCTAGTTAAATAGACTATATTTAAAGTCTTTCTTCCTACTACCTTTAGTAAATACTCGCCTAATTCCTTAGCTACTTCTGGCTTAAATTTATTAGAAATAAAGAAGTAATTAATATTTTTAAAAAACTTCTTATTAAAAGTAATAGCCTTCTTATAGTCTATAAGGAAAATATAGCTAATATTTTAATGCTTTTTACTAAAGTAGAATTCGCTACTTAAAGCTTTAGTAATAGCCAGATCTTTAGTATTACCTTTATACTAATTATAATTAATGTTTCTAGAAGTAAAGTATTAGACTAGCTAAGAGTAAATAACTAGATAAATAGAATACTTACTTAATATCTTATAAAATCTGAGTTATATTAATAAATCTGCTATTAAGAATTAAGAAACTAAAGTAAAATAGCTATTACTAAGATCTTTATATATTAATATATTATCTTTTTAGAGATAGAACTATAATATCTCTATTTCCTCTATTAAGAGTTCTCGAATACTAAGCTTCTTAATTTACTTTAGGTAATTCTTCTTATAAATATAGCTATTTATATCTAGATTAGTAATATTAGACTCAGAAACAGAAACTATAGTATTAAATTAGAGCTATAAATTTGAGCGAAATTAATTAGAAATATAGTACTTATATTTATACTACTTAATTTCCTAGATTTTAAAAAAGAAATCCTATATTTCCTTATTTATTTAAATAATAGAAATATATTTCTTGCCTTTAGTAATTTTATAGATCTTAGTAGCTAGCTTTAGAGTATCCTTAATATCTTATATATTAATAAAGAAAGTATTAGTAAATTACTAAATATATCTTATATAGGAAGCTTTAAGAAATTCATTATTAATCCTATAATATTCTTACTTATAAATAAGTCCTAAAATACTATTATATATTTCCTTACAAATATATTTATTTTACTAAGCAAGTATTAGCTTCTATTTAGCTAGTATCTTATAAATATACTAAATACCTTTATTAAGTTCTCTAAACTTAATATTTTTAGTCTTTTATTTCTTAGTTCTAGATATAGTTACAGGAATCTTTCTAAATAATATCTTTTCTTTTAAAATAGAGAATTCCTTCTTGCTTTCCTTTATTTTACTAATCTTATACTTAATCTAGTACTTAGATCTTTACTATTTATTAGAAGTTTTAGGCTTAGCTTATTCTCTATTCTTACTAGGTTCTTCTTATTTAGTTATACTAGTTCCGCTAGCCTTACTAGTAGTTTTCTTACTAGGCTTTATTAAATTACCTTTATTTTTCTTAGCTAGATCCGGTTAAATTAAAGCAGAAATTATAATAAAGGCTTATTCTTTAGGCTTATTTTAGAAAGCAGGAAAAGGCTTATTACTATAAATTCCCTTAATTAGAATTCCGGAAATATTAAAGATATATTATCTAGCCTTGAGATTATTAGCTAATAGTAGCTTAAACTCTAATTCTCTAGGTTCCAAAATAACTTTAGTATACTTAAGTATCTTAGTAATATCTAATTTAGTAAATATACTAGTATTCTAATATTTCTTATCCTTAATATACTTTAAAGTAGCTTTATTAATTAACTAAATAGCTTTATATACTAAAGCTTTTGTCTTAAAAAGAAAATATAACTTCTTATAAATGTTTTTATTAAGGTTATTATAAATATTATTAATATATTAACTAAAGGCTTTACTATATAATATAATTCTATTCTGATTCTTAGTATTAAAACTATTTACTATAGTCTTAATCTTATTAAGCTTTTCTTATTTGCCTTTAGAAATGCCTTTAATAATATTCTCGAATTTTCTATTATTAGCTTAATAGTTCTTTAGCTTCTTTTTAGTTAATTCTAGTCTAGTTCCGTCTCTAATAAAGGTTTTCTACTTTAAGAGCTTATTATATATATTACTTAGCTTATTTAAGATATTTATATTAAATTTAGTAATTATAGCTATCTTTTCTAGTATTAGTAAGTCTTTTATAATTACTTAAGCTTCTTTAATACTCTAAACTTTAATACTATTAATCTATAGGCTTTTAATAATATTATAGCTTGTAAGAACTAGCTATTATACTTTGCTAGCTTAAGAAATCTATACTTTAGCTATTTTATTATTCTTAATAGGTTCTAAAGATATTATTAGTATAATAGTTATAAGTTATAAAATTAAAGATTCTCGAGATTATAAGAATTTCTTTTAAGTATATTTTAAAATAAAAAGTAAATTAGAATAGACTTGAATTATATAAAGGTATTATATATATTCGAGTTTTTCTTTCTTTCTAGTAAGAAAATAAAGCTAAAATAGTAATATATATAATATGGAAAGTAGATATAATAATTAGATATATTTAAAGTAATATTATTATAAATTAGAAATAATTATAAAAAGTAAAATATGGAATTAAGCTTTTATTATAGAAAAGAATATAAATATATATATCTAAAAAATATATAATTTAGGAAATAATTAAGGCAAGTTAAACTAAATAGTAATAATAAGGAAATAAAAAAATAATATAATAGAAATATAGATATAGTAATAATATCTAAAGTATTAGAATATAAAAGGAAATAATAAAATTTT